TGTCAAACACAATGGAAACTTTTGATAGTGTCATCAAGTTCTGAAATGTCAGTTCATTTGTTGATCTCACCTTGAAAGACACAAAATGAAGATCACAGGCAACTGGTACTAAATGTCCTAGTAAATGATTAAAAAAATTAACAATGCTTGAAGTGACACAAAAGCAAAGGAAATAGGCTATGAAGGTGAAGACCTAATTGATGCTTTTGCACAATGTGCTATGCTCGAGTCTTAATCTTCCTTCCATTCCAGTCCTGTCTTGTGGTTTGGGAATCCAACCCATTCAATGTATTATATGAACCTAGCAAATGAATTTAACTGGGTTTAGTATGTTGTGTGAATACAGCCATAACTATACTGGATCAGTGTGTATTATGGCCCCTATTTTTTTTGTAAATAGACCTTTATCTTGCAGTGAATTGTCTCAGGCTGATCATAATCCACATGAGTTATCATTTTTGGAGGGGACATTTAATCACTCTTCCCTTCACTCCAGATATACTTGAAAAGAACCATTAGATTTGCCAGTTGGAGCTTTCTTCCTAAACTTCACAGTCAGAATTAGCAGAGTAATTACAGTATTGGCAAAATCTCATCTGCCTAGGAAAAATGCAACTTTCTATTAGTAAGGTAGCAGAAGACAGGGACCCAGTAAAATCACCCCCTTGTAGGAGTGCAATACAGGCTAGCCTCCTTGCCAGTTGGAACAGGCAACGTGACTTTGTCATGGCTAAATATTCTACACATTCCGGCTGCTGGACCTCACAAGGATCTCCCAGCAAGAAACAGCAGCACAAATATAAAAACAACAGCTCTTCTCAGAGGCATTAATGCTGTATTCTGTTATGACATATGCAATAAAATAAAATAAAATAAAATAAAATAAAATAAAATAAAATAAAATAAAATAAATCCCCATATAAGTCTATATCAGTTTTTTTCAGATTTGGCAACTTTAAGATGTATGGACTTCAGCCTCCACAATTCCCCAGCTAGCATGCGGGTGGAGAATTTTGACAGTTAAGGTACACACATTTTAAAGTTTTGTTTAAACTTTGAAAAAACAGGAGTAAAGATGAATATGGGTGAAACTGAGCTTTAGTATACAAGATGCTCTGAGGACCATAGTTTAGAAACTTGGTATTCAGAAAGCTAATAACTGCAACAACAAAAGAAAGCAATAGCTAAGGCAAAATAGTTAAAGGGAATGCAGAACTTAAAATACACATACACACAAAAACAAAACAGCAAATCCCACAAGTGATAGCAAAACATATACGTCCTTAATAAGAAAACAGCAAGAACTAGGAACGAGATAAATAAAATACACACAGCATTAGTTTACCTAAATAGAAACTACTAGAAATTTGGCAACAAACCCTCTAGACTATTAACAAGGGCAGTGAAGAAAAGAAGAGGGGGGAAAATGAGCCAGAAAAATCTATTCTGTATATATAAAAGACGGAAATGGAAAGGTCCCCTGTTCCACAAAAGAAAATAAACTGAGCTTTTGCCAAACTCTGTGAGAATTCATACACAGCTAGCACTCCTGACTTGCACTCCACTGATTCCTTTTTAAACAGTCCTGAAATAAAATCTTCTAAGCATGACCGCTGGGAGTGCTTAAACCAACCAATTTCTGGAACTGAAATAAAAGCAGCTATTACCAAAGTAAAGCATGGAAAATCTCCTGGCACTGTTGGTTTTGCTGGGGAATTCTATAAATTGTTCAGTGAAGGATCAATTCCCCATCTGAAAATCCTTTTAAATGACATTTGGAGAGACCTGGGAATAAGCATGCCTAGACCTGAGACCCAAAGATGGGAACACTTTAAATATCTGGACTTATTTTTATTTTTTAATCAAAATGCCAAACTCAAAGCAGTGTCTCTGGTAAGCAGATTTCTGACATTTATTTCCACATACACTTGATGCAATGAGGCAGATTTATATCAAATAGTTAAAATAAAAATTTGTCATCATCACCCTACAAAGTCCCACAAAAATGTCACTTTCTTTGTTTTCTCTGAGTGCCTTTGAAGCATTTGACGGATTAGAATGGTCTTTTCCCCCTCAAAAACTCATCAACTGCAATGTTTGTCCGTCTGTCCGTCCGTTCCCCCCCTCCCCCATTGCTCCCTTTCAAGTTTAAATCAATTGTTTGACTTTGCTGGAAATGTTCTGACAGTGTTCAGAACATTTTGAAAATGGTCTGAGATCATATAAGTCCTCCCTCTAGCTCGAAACATGAATTCAAAATAGGATTGCTTTGAGTTTGAAACCACCAGGATTCATAAAACCAGTGTCAAAATCCTCAGGATGGTGGGCATGTTTTTATCTCAGTAGCATGTCCACCATCTTGCAGATTTTGACACATACCTCTGCAGACACTCCATCCTAAATACTTCCAAAATGTGTGGAACAGGATTGGAACTCTTCTGGTAAGACTGGACCTTTCCCATGGCAGCCCCTGCCCCATGGAACATCCTTCCCTCTGAAGTTTGGCAGGCCTCCACCCTCCTGGCCTTCCCTAAAGCACCAAAGACCTAGCTTTCCCCCACCCACCCCGCCAAGCGCTGGGATGAGATGACTGCATATCGGAAGTTTGACTTGGGGCCAGGTTTTTGTTTTAAATGTGTTTTCAGTTTATAATTTTAATATGGCCTTTACGTTGTTTTAAAAATTTTGATTGGGAGCTGCCCCAGAGTTTATTGTAAGATATGTTTTAAATAAACAAATAAGCAACCTTCACTTACGTAAGTGTTCACACTGAGGAAGGCTGTAGGAAACTGCCTCACCTACGAATGTACAATTCTTTTCTCACAAGCTTCAAATAAAGATAGGCAATTCAGCAAACAGGCTGGCATATAAAGCAGAGAACTGCAATACAGGTTTTGATCTTTTAACCGAAAAACAAAACATTCTGATATAATATTGACGTATGTACAATGTCTGTAAATGCTGATTGTGGTTTAGGCCTGTAACCATAGTTTTCTGCACGTTTCAATCACTGGTCAGCCTTCTTTCTTTTGCTGGGAATGGGTCTCTGTTCCAAACTTCATCATATCTGCCATTTAAATCTGCCATAAAAATATTCTGTGGAGCTCTGACAGGTGTGCCCTGTGCTTTGCTTTAGGCAGAGGGAATGGATAGGACATGCCAAAAAGCAACATAGGAACATATCCAGATGAGGCGAGATAAGACTAAATATTTTCCTCTTCTTATTAACAAGTCAAAAACTGGTTGATGTTTCTCTTTCATCAGCTTACTACTATGTTGAATCAGAAATGAGTTATTTAAAAAAGTGAGCCTGAATAGTGTGTCTGTTGCACAATAGTCAATCTTTAGAATTGTGCTACTGCACTCATCTTAGTAGACGTTTTCCTGTAAAATTTGAATTAACAGCAATCAACAACTTTAATCAAAATTTTATGTATAGTCCAAGACCAAATACAATAAAGGACCAGCATAATCTACAACTCAGCTAGTCTTTTCAAAACTAGAGAAGGTCACCAAAAAATAATAACTGAGTTTTCAAATACCATGATATCATGAATTAGTGTATCCCTCCACCCAGGAATAAAATTAATTATTTTCTTAATGTTAATAATGCTCAGGAGCCTATATTTGACAACCATGCTTAGGCAACAGTTGCAAAAAATTGGTTACCCCATTCTTAGCTGTTTGCAATTCCATGCAGGTGGTAACCCATAGTCTGAAAGCCCCTGGAATATGAGTGTGTGAGTGAGTGAGTGAGTGTGCGTGTGTACACATACACATATACAGTACATACACATATACATACACAGAGACAGAGAGAGAGAGATGTTCTAGATTGTTTATAAGTCTATTATAAAGTCTATTGTGCTGTTATCATAAAGGTCCATGAGACTGCCAGAAAAATATTACACAAACAAATATGTTGTATGGACATTAGGCTTTACCTATAAGGGATATATACATTAGCACTATTACAAACCAGCATGAATCTTCATATAAATAGGTAAGGGTAATGACATGTGTACTGTTTTTGTAGATTTGTGCAATTTTGAACATTCTGGACTCTAATGATGCATAAGATTGTTTTCAAGAATTTCTGGAAGATTAATTTCTGTCTGGAAGGACTCCCGGTGCGCAAGCCAGAGCAGAGATGATTACAAGGTCTGCAAAGATGCAGCAGTCCAGAAGAGAATTTCAACTCAGCACCTATCAGCTTTAGTAAATGTGAAGTTAGCCTATCATTTCAAGCAGCTTATTTGGGATCTTGAAAGATGAAAAGTCAAGAGAATTTAAGCTATCATCTCTGGGAGCTTCAGATGCCTCCCCCCACATTTGATAGCCTGTACTGCTCAAAGTTTCACTAAGATATGGGCACACTTTATTTCTTTGCTCTAAATGTTTGTTATGGTGTTTTTTTCGCCCCCTACAAGTGGAACACTGGAGTCTCATTACGATTTGCAGAATACTTACTCTGCAGCCATTTCAAATATAAATCTAACCAGCTATCTCTATTTTGGGTTTGCACTGAAAATAAACAAAGATGTTCAAGAGATTGGAAGAAAGCGCTTCCTTTTAGACGATTACACTCAGACAAAAAGTAATGGAACTGAAAGAAAGGCTTTTACTCTCCCACTCTCTCTCTTTAATTTTGCTGAGTGACAGAGGATTTAAATGCAAAGTGGATCTAACACACACCCTGAAGTCAGCTGGCAGTATGCAAATGACCTGTCAGATTAAAATCTGAATGAAAGAGATAACAAGCTTATCTTCATAACAAAAGAGTCTTACGGGCAAACTATTTGACGCACTGTTGATGTTTGTTTTAACCCGTAGGCTTTGGACAGGGCAATAGATTGCAAAGGGGCTGCTGCACCGTCCTCACTCCCTCTTCACCCCCACCCCACACCCCACCATTTGCCGGGTTTGCGTGTGTTTGTGTTCGCACTTAGCAACAAAAAGCCAGGGGTACGGCACAATGCATGAAAAAGCCAAGCAGCCAGGGCTTACAACCGGGGCTTTCAAAGGGGCTTGAGGGGGGGGGGATTGCACAACTAGCAATCCTAACCAAGCCAGCCTATGGGTCATTTTTCTCTCTCTAGCAACCCCACAGCTGCAGGGAGAATAAGCAAACACAGCGGCGGGGCAGAAAGGCGACTGCGGTCGAGGCGTGCGATTTATTCATCTGGCACGTGCGGAGGGGCCGGGGCCGGATCAGCTGTATTTGTTTAATGAAAGGGGGCAAAGAGAAAGGAGGTAAGCAAGCGAGTTGCGCCAGAGAGAGAGAGAGGGGGGGGGGTGTGGGGAGGGGGGGGGGAGACTTGAATGCAGCACGCCAGAAAAGAAAGCTGCAGGTGTCTGCAAGGCGGAGACCACCGACGGCCCTGGAGCCACGAAGCCCGGAATTAGCAAGGGAGGGCGCATTGAAAAAGGCGGGGCGAAGCCGCTTTGCCGCGGTAGAGGCGCACGCGGTGGCTGCCCTAGAGGGAAAGTGGTGCTGGAGGAGCCCGAGGAAGGCCCTCAGTGGCCGATAGGCCCTTCGCTTCCCGCCTTTTCTGGGACGCGAAGGAGCCCTCGTACCCCAGTTCCTCCTCCACAGTTTTCCACATTTGAAGCCCTCCAGTTCTCCTGCGCTGGTTTGGGGGCTGACGTCAGAGGCTGGTCTCCCTTAATAGGAGAGCAAAAGAAGGCCAGTGGTGTTCTCCACTCCTCCCCTTGAGAGGGGCTCCCATTTCTCCCATTGGATCATTAGAATAACCATTGGAGTCTTGGTATGATACTTTTCAATAGCGCTTTTTTTGCACCAAGCTAGCCGGTCCAGTACTGAAGTCTACGCAATGGAATGGAAAAAGAAGCCACTCCATCCTGTCAAAGTTGAGTTTTTAAAAAGGGGAAATTGGGTTAGATGTGTTGAGAACTTGATCATAAACGGTTTGGGGGGGAGGGTTGCCCTAATCCTTTTTGGGTCTTAATTTCAGTGTCATCTTCCTTGGAGGCAAATTCAGTGGAAGCAGGTTACTTACTGATTGGGTTTTTCAATAGAAGTTCTAAAGATGCCAAGAACCTAAAGAGAAGAGTCTCTGCGTAACCTTTTCATTTACAGGTACTCCTCAGTTAACAACTATTTGTTCAGCAACTATTCAAATTTATGATGACTGAAGGAGTGGTAATTACAACTGGTCCTTGAAGTTGTGACCATCCCAGCTGCTTTGCAGTTACTTGATCATGATCTGGGCACTTGGCAACTGGCTCACACTTAGGACTGTTGCAATGGCCCATGGTCACCATTTGCAGCCTTCCCTGCCAGCTTCCCACAAGGAAAATCAATGGGGATGCCTGCAGTGAAAGTTATAAGTCATTTTGGTATGCCGCAGCCATCCCAAGCCTTGTACTCATGCAACACTGCAACAGTCCCTTGTGCGCCCAATCCTGGCTGCTGTGCTTGGGCCTCCCTGGCCAACCATGCACCCCCATTCCCACACGGCAGCAGCCATTTATCTGCCTGCCAGCTTCCTTTCAAGCTGCCTAGGGCTTGCAATTTTGTGCCAGCTTCCTCACGGACTTTGATTGTTGGAAGCTGGCAGGAAGTGGCAAAGTGGTTGTCACTTTATGAACTGCAAATAGCAATATCAACAGCACTTAGAGTTATATACTGCCTCGCAGTGCTTTACAGCACTCTCTGGGGAGTTTATCTGAATCAGTCAACCTTGAAGCCATCAGGATCGAACTCCAGGCTGTGGGCAGAGTTTTGCTTGCAATACTGCATTCTAACCACTGTGAACCTTGCTTAACGATGGCAAATGAGATTGCCAGGATTGCCTTCGTTAAGAGATGTGGTCATGTGATGTCTCATTTTATGACTTTGCTTAGAGATGGAAATTATGATCCCAATTACATTGTTAATTGAGGATTACCTCAGTATTTATTTTAATTAAAACAATCTTCACTTCATGCAAAAATTAAATTTTGGCATTGTTTGTGGAACCTGCAAAAAAAGACTGTTTAACAAGGTCAGTCATCTGGGAAAGGATTACTGTGCCAATTCCATAACTAGAAATGAACCTTTGATCTAAACCAAAGCTGGTTGGATTTAAACTCCCAAACCCCAACATTTGTTTGACAATGACAATAACTCTCCATCTGTGTACAAATACTTACCAGATGTGTTAGCTGATATTCCTCTTGAGCCTTGATAGTGACCTAGTTAAGGGTTTTCAACCTGCAGAACCTGTTAGTGGAAAAACAAATTTCCCAGAATGCATGATCAAGAAGCAAAATTCTAGTAATAAAAATTTGACTGCATTCAAGTGAACTTTTGTTTTTGCTCTTAGGCTCTTGTAGAACCATAAAACTCTACAGTTTGAAAAACTCCATCCAAGAAGACCCCAGGAAAAAAAAATAGCTCCTGCAAAAATTCCTGTCTTCTCTAGTTTTTCCACACACAGGCTAGTTATAGTTTTCTCTGATTTGGTCCACAAAATAAATTAATCCCTTGATTATCCTTATTGTCCTTTTCTAACATAGATTTGATTTGTCTGGGTCCTTCCAAAATAAGACAGAAAACTGGTGCTGAGGGTGAATGTGGACTACCTTTATGATATTATGATCTATTTTTGTAACTCTGGTTCCATTGTTTTTATTTGGGAGGAGGTTACATACATTGAAGATTTTCATCATTGCCAGTTTTAATTGCTTGATGTTTTTGGAGTGAGCAGTGAACACATTTTTTTACAAATAGGTATTCAGTATGTTATCTGAGCAACAGAGTATAAAGTGGAATTACTATTTTCCTTTATTGGAAAATTAGTCTTGCTGGCTAAGAATTCTAAGAGTTGTGGTCCTAGCACATTTGGAGTTGCATTTTGAGCATATTTGGAGGGTGCCAGACTGAACAATGGTGACTTATATACTTAGGTGATCTAAATGCATATTTACCTCCAGTTTTCATTTTTGCCCTCATATTACATATGATATAGGTTATTGAATTTTTATGTGCTGTCCAGTAAGTGTTAACCCTTACCAACTGTATAAATAGGTTTTTTCTATATCTCCCCTAAATTATTTTCATAAACTTGAAAAATTAATGCTTGCTCAAGATCATACTATTAAATCATGGTTAGGATTAGGAGTTACATCTATTAAAGACAAGACCAGCTGCATAGTATTAATTCCTTATGGTTCCAGATCAGTTATTGGCATCTGTTCTCCCAAATAAGTTAACAAGACTGAAAAAAATACACTAATGCTGTTTTATCATATCTGAATAGTACTTAAACCTTTCAGCATTGCTTCTATTTATTATGATTTCTTTATCATATTTTGCCCAAAAGCCATCAAATTGGTGCATACACTTGGATGCACACACAACAAATCAAAATTACTGAAACATTTTATTTATTTATTTAGCATATGGTGATATTCAGAAAGCTGGGAATCTACTGCATCCGAGACAGTAGATGTCCAGCAGCCGATGGAACCCGACAGCAGCCACCAAATCACTTCCAGGTCAAGAAGTATTAGCCAGTGATGTCACTGTTGCTTGGGGGACACCAATGGGGACTCCCTCTCCCATTTCCACACAGGTTCCCACCAAAGTGATATCTGTTTTTCTACTTGCATTTTTACATGCTTTTGAATTGCTAGTTCAACTGGAACTGGAGTGAGTAATGGGAGCTCATCTTGCCATGCAGTACTTGCATCTCGAATTCAGGCTTGCCAATCATCAAGCCTCCATTCTAACCACAAAGCCACTGCACCTCATTGAAACACTGAAGCTGTCAGATCAAGAGAATAGGGCCAATCAAAAGAAAGAACATTGGAGAGCATCCTTTCCTAGTCACTTGATAGTGGGCTTCTGCAAGTGGGTTATCCCTTTAAAATTTAACATTTGAATATCTGGGAAGAATGACAGTAAAATAAGTAGTTATTTGAAAACCATACTTCAATCAACTCTTAGAAATGAATAAAAATAAAGTAGGATTTTCATGATGTACTCTGATACGATATCTATACTATATCTGTTGGAAGCATAGTTATTGTATTTAGTTGGGGAATGCAAACTAGACACTTCAAGATTAAAAGAAATATGATTCAAGTTGAATATGATCTGAAGTTTGGAATCAACACAATTCACTTGGAATCCATACAAGATTGAACTAAATTATAGATTTAGTTGTGGATTATTATTTTTTTAAATTTGATTTATATGCCGCCCTTCTCCGGAGACTCAGGACGGTTTACAACGCGTTAAGCAATAGCCTTCATACTTCTGTATATTTATACAAAGTCAGCTTATTGCTCCCACAAACTGGGTCCTCATTTAACCTACCTTAGAAAGGATGGAAGGCTGAGTCAACCTTGAGCCTGGTGAGATTCGAACTTATAGTAATTGCAGACAGCTGGTGTTAATCACAATGCTTTTGGTCTGCTGAGCCACCAGGCCCTTTTGTATTATAATGAAAAAGTAGGCCCTTTTGATTATAATGAAAAATATAAAAAAGGCTGTAGTTACTTAGTATTTTTGGCAGAATAGGATGACAATAGCAGGAAAGGTAATCCAGTAAACTTTCAGCCAGGTATCTTCTTCACAATATTTTTTGAATAATAATAATAATAATAATAATAATAATAATAATAATAATAATAATTTTATTTCTATACCGCCCTTCTCCCGAAGGACTCAGGGCGGTGTACAGCCAATTTAAAAACACAAGACACAACAATAATTAAAAATTAAAATAATTAAATAGATTTGGCCGATTTAAAACCCCAAAAATTAAAATACCCCAATTTAAAATTATTATATTGACAGCCCTGCCTGGCGGAACAACAGGGTCTTCAGTGCGCAGCGGAACACCCGGAGGTCAGAGATCTTACGTATTTCCGGGGGCAGTTCATTCCACAGGGTTGGGGCTCCCACAGAGAAGGCCCTCCCCCTGGGTGTCGCCAGCCGACATAACTTGGCTGATGGCACCCTGAGGAGACCCTCTCTGTGGGAACGGACTGGTCGGTGGGAGGCTATTGGTGGCAGAAGACGATCTCGAAAAGCCTTCCTATGCATCTCCTAATTCACGGGTGTCAAACTTGCTGGTGTTATGTTGCTGTCGCGTGACGTTTCGTTTTTTCCCTTTGTGGACCTGGGGTGAGCGTGGCCTGTGTATGATGCATCCGGTCTGCAGGCCGCTAATTTGACACCCCTGTGACCTAAGGCAAATGGGATGAAGAAGTATAATACAGCACTCCAGGTTCTTCAACAAGAGCCTGGTAGATCTACACCAATTCAGATGTATTCTGTTTCATCTTAAAACTGAAAGCTTTCAAAAGGATATCTTAACTAAAGATAAAGTGCATCCTTTTCTTACCACTTCATTTTTCTTGCCTGGCAGACTGTTGGCATGGCTCTTAGCCTATTTCAGAACTAATATGCTGCTTGTGCAATTTAAAAAGTCTGAGAAGAATTGGGTTATTACATTTGTGCATAAACTACAGAATGACACAAAGAAATACTCTGTATTGATATGCAGTAATTTAAAGGCAAGCACATTACATCACAACCAATCATGCAGTGAAGAAGACTCATTAAGTACAGAACAGACAAGTAGCAGAAAGAAAAAAAGGATATTTAAAATTACTTTATTATGATTCGTGGGAAGAAAGTGGGGCAAATGAAAGGAGAGCTAAAAGTGATGAGGAACTACAACTGGTCTCCAGACATAGAGACTAATAAGAACTAAAATATAGGCTGCGCAAACAGAGCAAAGATTTTAAAAAGCAGTATCATAAATCCCTCTCTTTCTACCCCCTTGCAAGTGAATCTGCCTAAATACATTCTAACAAAAGAATAAGGCACAGACCTGGAGCACTACTGCAAGTGCTTTCATAGCAGAGTTTTCAGATATGACCAAATTAATTGATCAGCTACTGATTTTAGTATCAAGCAATTAAGGATGCTTTTACTTTTTACATTAAATGACTTTCAGCTGATTTATTATTTAAGACTTAGTTAAAATCTACATAGATAATGTTTGCAATAGCTGTGATCTACCCAAAGCATTATTTATTACAAAACTTTATTGGATCAAAAATTATATCTCAGGGTCCTTGGATCATTATTAGGATGGAAAAATTTAATCCTTGCACCCAGATAACTGAATCCTTCCACCCAGATAACGAAAATCTATGGATGATCAATAATTGAGGTAGTCCTTGATTTACAACCATTTGTTTAGTGATCATTTGAAGTTACAACACTGACAAAAGTGACTTTTGACCGTTTTTCACACTTACATTGCAACATCCCCATAATCACATGATCAGAATTGACAACTGACAAGTATTTATTACAATTGCTGTATCCCAGGGTCATGTGATCACCTTTTGCGACCTTTTGACAAAGTCAGTGGGAAAGCCAGATTCACTTAACCATGTTACTAACTTCACAATTGCAGTGATTCACTTAACAACTGGACAAGAAAGGTTGTAAAATGGAGCAAAACTCAATCACTGCCTAGCAATGGAAATGTTGAGCTCAATTGTGGTCGTATGTTGAGGACTACCTGTGTTAGCTGAAGTGGCATACTGACTGTTAAGAATAAGCTAAAAAACCCATGCACACTTTAAATGATCAGACTGATTTCAAGGAAAAGAAAGTCAGTTTAAAGGTGGAGAAATACATTTAGTTTTACATTCTTAAAACATGACTTACCTAATGCATTGCTGTCTGCATATTGGAAAGAGACAGAAAACATCCCATAGCCTGAATATACATATATAAATACTTGAGAATTCCTGCCCTAAGGAAGGATGACCCACTCTTAAGTGCCCAGTTGTTACTCTGGGGCAGCTTTTTAGTAACTCTTGGGATAAAGAGGAAAGCAGATGGGATTCCAGGAGTAAAACTTCATTGTGGGAGAAAAGAGAAGAACCTATGAAGAACTGGAATGTATCCAGCAGGGAACAACAGGCATTATCTAAATAAGGGGCTCTGGCAGAGGCTTAGAAGAACAGATTGGGAACATTGGCGTGTTGTGCTGCAGTGAGAGCTGAGTATCCATGCTGCCTTATTTACCGCTTGACTGAAACAAGAAAGAATTGAAATAAAGATGCATGTATTGAAAGCTTATTTAAGTTGCAGTGTGGGAGGGGAAAGAAAAAGGAACAAGCAAGAACAGCCTTGGCAAAATCTCAGGCAGTTGGAGAGGCTTCATCCTGAGTAGTATTGGACAAGGCAAATTTGCTGTGCAGAGGGTGATAAGAATTATGGCCAAGATCAGAGGTGAAATCCAGCAGGTTCTGACAGGTTTTGGAGAACTGGTAGCAGAAATTTTGAGTAGTTCGGAGAACTAGCAAATACTACCTCTGGCTGGCCCCAGAGGGGTGTGGGAATGGAGATTTTGCAATATCCTTCCCCCAGGAGTGGGGAGGGAATGGGGATTTTGCAGTATCCTGCCACGCCCACAGAACCTGTAGTAAAAAATTTGGATTTCACCACTGGGCAAGATGCCTTAAGATTCTTGTATTTCTATACTGAAGTATGCAGTACTTTTCCTAGTCAGTGAAAGCTACAATTCCAATAACATTTCTAGAAACTCTTGTACAAATAACAATTCCGTTCTAGAGCTATTGTGAACAAAAAATACAGAACCCAATATATAATAAAAAAATCTATAATTGCGCGGAAATAGACAAACTAACATTTGAAATGAAGGACAAGGTAGACTCAAAATGTTATATAGCGTGGAATAGGTGGCATGATTGGATAACTGATGAGAAATGAGAGTAAATGAAAAATTTTGTATGATAATAATAATTAACAAATATGCACCGTTAATAAGATAATGGACGTGTGACCAAAGTCATTTTTCTTTTTATGTAATTGTCTTTTGTATTAATATATATGTATCTTGTATATACATAGTATAGTATTTTACTTTTATATGTTTAATAAAGTTTTGTTTTTAAAACAAAAAAAAAAATGTCTCACTGCTTCATGAGGAAAAATATGAGATGAGTTTTGCTATCTATAGCCACTAACCTTACCCTTAAGACAATCGTGTATTTCTGCTGTAGATATCCAATTTGAACCTCATGCAATCATGAACTCTGTATTATTTGTGAACAATGCCTCTTTCTCATCCATATCTATTTTATTGGGTCATGGCAAGCATAAAAAAGTATCAGCTATATTTATGCCACTGTGCTTTGTTGAAAACAAATGGGAAGATGCAGATGATGATATTACCACAAGAGGAAGAGGGAGAATAAGAAATACAGGTAATCACATATCTATTTTTGTGTGTAGTAATCTGTACAACACATAGTAGTATGTTGCTTGTGTCAAGTTTGAATGGAAGGAAGTGGATTATACACTGCTCAAAAAAATAAAGGGAACACAAGCAGAAGACATCCGAGATTTGAATGAATGAAATAGTCTTATTAAATACTTTGTTCGTTACATACAGTAGTTTTGTGTTCCCTTTAGTTGTTTGAGAAGTGTATAAACTACTGTATGTAAAGAACAAAGTATTTAATAAGGCTATTTCATTCATTCAGATCTCGGATGTCTTCTGCTTGTGTTCCCTTTATTTTTTTGAGCAGTATATTTTATTCATTGGCTCCTGAGGGACATCCTGACTGGAGACATACCAAAGACCTACTGTTGCTTCCTTACATTGGCTTGTACCAAAATATGCCAGGCTTGTGAAAAAAATTAAATCTCTTCTAAGATATGGCCAGAAGTTGCTTATTTGTGGTAGACAGATGCCATCTTGTGAACTATCCCAAGAATTTTAATTTTCTTTTGGATTTTTCTTGGCACAGACAGAATCTCATGATTTGGGCAGCTCTATGTTTTACTTCTACAGCAGTGAATTTTTCATATTAATGTATAATATTAAAAGGGATTTTTACATTTTATCTTTTCTTTTTAAGTAAAGTTTGGTTTTGTCTATCTCTTGTGAAATTAGCAAAGCAAAGATTGAATCCTAGAGGATAGTCATGTAGCCAAGAAGTTCCACTATAGAAAGTATTTCACTGTTTGCATTTTAAGCTTTAATCACCAGAAAGATGGCACTGGGTGTGAAACCTCTATCTTTCTCATACACCCTGCATTTGGGAAGATGCCAGGTAAGGTGTCTTCTGGGAGACAGATGATAAAAGCAGCAGCTTCAAAACCTCTATCCTGAAACAGGAGGTAGGATAGGGTGTGACTGATGTACATAGTGTGAGCCTCAGTGGCGCAATGGTAAGAGTGCAGTACTGCAGGCTACTTCTGCTGACTGCCAGCTTCTTGCAATTTGGCAGTTCAAATCCCACCAGGCTCAAGGTTGACTCAGCCTTCCATCCTTTCAAGGTGGGCAAAATGCTGACTCTATAAACCGCTTAGAGAGGGCTGTAAAGTACTGTAAAGTGGTATATAAGTCTAAGTGCTATTGCTATACCCAGAGTGGATCATGGGACTGACCAGCAGCTGCAGAATCCAATCTGGCCCAACCACCTCATTGCCAGCTTACTGTGCCTCATATCCATATATGTGCTGCCTGAACAGCTTGGTTGGCATGCTGGGAGCAACAGTGCTACTTCATACCCATTACCAACCCTTCAGACAGCCTCCTCAGACAATGTAACCCATTATGCCTTTGCCCAGGACTTCTGGAAGAAAAGGTTTGAGACTTTTAGCCTTTTATCCTATGCACAAAGCTATTCTGCCACAGAAGACTTTGGACAGATGAACATATTCAAATGATTTCTCCTTGTCCCAAAAAATATTCACTGTAGTTCTTAGATCTATTCTGATACCTGCTGGTATGAATGGCAGACCAAGTTCTAACAAGGTGGGTAGATGATAGTTCCATAAATGCTTGCAGTGAAAGGCGCCACCTTTCTTGAGATACTTTACCTTAAAGTTAAGCATTATATCAATCCAAGCTATTTTCTAATGTTAGTCTTTCATAGCACAGTGATAAGGTTAAGGATAGGTTAAGCCTATTCTAACTTCAGATTTAACCTTAGATTATAGGAATGATTTGATAGAAATGATATCTTTAAAATGGGAAAAGCAGATTTTAAAAAACCCTTCAGTGGTGTTCATTTCTCTAACAAACAGAATGAAGTCAAAGAAGAACATCTGGTATTGGAGGATTACACCATATTGGATTGCATTCCATTCCACCAAACAACTCCGGAATAAAGTCACTTTTTGCGTAACTTTAAGATGAGATATTATTTCCATTTCAGCATTTTGTTGGAAAACTGGACAAATAAAATAGTAACAGTTTACAAGTTTTCTAATATACTGACGAGAAAGAGAAATAGCTTTAGAGAGGAAAGAGTCAAACATCCTATGGCATTCCCAACTGATAGGCAATTGACTAACCATTCTGGTCCATTTTAAATGAGAAATAAATAAGGAAAAGTTCATTTTGTATGAATATCTCATTCTATACTATGAATACAAATGGATTTAACCTTGTCCCTTCAAAAAGGCTGTAGACAATCAGAATCATCTTTACAGAAGACTGCGCCTGCTTTTAAATGAGCTTTTTAAAAGCAGCTGCTTTTTTTCTCTTTCCTTTCTCCAATTCCCGTTCACAGTCAGCATAGATAAATAGAGTAAGGCAGAGGCTAAATGCTGACCTAAAGTTCAAAGCAGAATAGGGCATAGAATGGGAGAAGAGATGTTCTCCCAGTTTAGACTACAGAACACGTGTAAATAGATCTTGCCATCTAAAACCAATGGACATATGCTTGGTTCTGTGTTCTGTAATTAACGCAGAGTGTGTTTTATCGTATACATTGTGATAATCATTTTAAGATCTGAAAATGGTTGTTGATAGAATGGATTATTATTTTAAAATAGGATATTTTGTTTCTTTTTAAAAAGAATGATTCATGGCCTCTGAACCTGTTTCAGTAGTGGATAATGATTACAGGGGATGAATCACTAATTGAAACGATTGTTATGTTTAATTATGCGTCTTGTGGTTACACTAAATAGGAGAGGCTGAAGTTTAAAGGAATGGAATTCACATTCCAGCCATACTCTTGTGCTTCTGACTATCAACATGCCTGAAATAATTGTGAAATAAATGAAAAGAAGACATTAAGAAGTGACCACCTCATTATGACCTTTTGCCTAAATCTGTGCATGGCATCCTGCAGCAGTTTCTTGTAGGTGCTAAACAATATTTGAGGATGAAACAGAACTTTGTGGAATCACTTAGAATTAAGTATTGTGAAGTAAAGGATAACTTTCCCAGATTCATCTTCTGAAAAACGGAAAAGAAAAACAGTACCTTCCTCTCCCATTCCTTATAGATAATTCTGATGGACTGTCATGCTTGATGAAACTGAATGCCGCCAAGAGAATTTATAGATCCGTGTTTTTCAAATTTTGTAACTTTAAGATGTGTAGGCTTCCCAGAATTCTCCATCCAAAATACTGCCTATATAACTGAACATTATTCACACCTTGCCAGATTTTCTGTGGATTTGCCAGGTTGCTATAAAGAAAAAAAAGTTGTTTTCTTGTCCTTTCTTAATTTCATTTTAAAAAGTCTTAGAATCTGCTTCTGTAACTAAATATTGGCTAGCTGAAGGAAAAAAAGCTTTGTGCAATGAAAGACAGTTTAGAAGAGAAAGAGAAAGACAGAAAGAGAAACAATATAAATATAAATAATAAAAATAGAAATAATAGAAATAGAACAGAATAGAATAGAATAACAGAGTTGGAAGGGATCTTGGACGTCTTCTACTCCAATACTCTGCTCAGGCAGGAAATCCTATACCATGTCAGTATTACTTCTCTCTTTTTTGACCATTGATCAGCTGTGAAGGACAAGGATAGATATTGTAGCCATGAAAACTTATTTATTTAGGGAGCAATTGTGACTTGTTTGAATTGGGTTTCAGTTCTGAATTACACTTGGTTCTGCATTCAGGTTCCTTTGTTTCCAAATAATAGCACCTGAAATCTTAAACTTTTACTGTATAATTTTGGTAGTCTGGCATATTGTACAGCATTGCTGTTTTATAATGTAGTTGCTTTCAGTAGGTGCTGGTGTTAATTGACTTCCTGGGGATGTCCATACCAGGTAGACCAATGGGAAGGAAGCCTGGAACCATACTATTGTTTTAAAGATTGCACACCTGCTCTTCCTCCTCTGCTTTTGTAGGACTCCTTGCTGATTGTCAGACTGCAATCCTGCCTGCCATACCTGTTCCGTTTTTTTCTATGCTCCCCCAACCCCCAGGATAATGCTGCATGTTCCATTTAAATACATTTCCTCATTTGAATAATATTTGCTGTAGAAAGACCATCAACTTCACTTTGCCTGGATTTATAGTCCCAAGTAAAAATGGCTCCCCTGGAATGCAGACAGAGCTGTTGTGGGATATAGGCCCAGCAAAGGAAAAGGCTGGCCAGGGAAGGAGAGGCATGACGTGAGAAAGCAGCTTTCTTCTGCATGAAAAAACGATGAAGTCTATTAGGAGAGAATGGTTTTAATTACTGACATCATTTCAAAGCAATCTTGCTGAAAAGTGACCATTTGTGGTCAGATCAGGCACGTGTTGGAATGGGGGTAAAGCATGTGTTTTAAGACTGCAGAGAAAATTTTCCATTCCACTGCAAAACTGGCTTAATAACCATTGCAAACCAACTATGTTGTTTAAAGTTGAAATACTTCAGTCATCTGCTAAACAATAAACCTGTTACTTTGAAAATATATAACTGGGTCATAATGAAGTTTGAAGCTTTACTTTTGACCTTCTTTGGTGTCTGCAGATTGTTCGCACAGAATGAGTCTCAGAAAAATACGTCCTAACTTTTGTAGAGCTTTCTGGTTGATGCCGATGAATGTTAGCAACTTGATCAATAAAAGAATTACACAGCCCACTGTGATTTGAAACATGGTGTTATTTCCCCCATTTCTTTTTTGTGCTTTTGGGGTTTCTGCCAAAAACATCAGAATTGTTCTCACAATGTCCGTTATTGAACTGGAAACTGTGAAAGAAAGCATAAAAGTGATGATACCTAATGAGACTATGTTCTTGGGCAGCAGACCCATATTTCTTATCAGCTGGCAAGATCTCTAAATTTACCTTATGATTTGAAGTAGCTGAATCATAATACACAGTACTGTCTGCAGAGAGATAATGCAAATTAGCTCTAGGGCACAATGGGAGAACTACTATAGCACACTCAGACACGATGCAAGAAGCTATTCACTTAATTCTAACCGTCTTCTGTGAGAAGCATTAATCCAAGTTGGATTTAAAAGCAAAGAAATAAAAAAAATCATGAGCTTCAGGATGGCAGACTAAACAGTCATACAAGTCACCTGATCGTAGTTTTTCCAGCTGACTATCATCCAGTATATTCCTACATCAGTGATAATAATTACTTTTAGATTTGCATATTACTTCTAGATTTAATGAAATCTTTATTTGAAGATGCATTTTCAATTTAAAAAGTTGGAGTGGGAGTGTCAGTTGCAGAATATGTCCCCAAGGGCAAAAAAAAAAGTTACCTAAGAATAAAATTTGGAGAAAACATAAAGCTCGCTACCTTAAATTTCTCACATTGTACTGCCAAACCACATTTTCCCTGGTGATCTGAAATTTTGCTTTAGCTTTAAAGTATTTATGGTGATAAATTGGGATGCTTTCAGAGTCACAGTTTTCTCATTGTACACACAGATTATCTCAAGACCTATTAATTGGCTTCCCTTTCCAATTTTACAATCTATCTTTTGCCACCTGAATTTAAGAGTTATTCCAAAACACCAGATCACCACTGGACTGAATAAAAAGAAACTTCCTGGGTCAGAATGGATAATCCATTTGAAGGGGGGAAAAATTCTAACAGGACGAGTCCCAGATTAGGAATGGGATCCAGTTTCATCAGAATTGCTTGCAAATTTTGGAAATGTGAAGGGAAAAAGTGCACTCGTAAAGAAACCCATCCATGTAATTGTGCTCCTCTATCATGAATGAACAAAGAGAAAACAATGCTACCTAGATTAATTCAGTATTATTATTTTACCTGTCTGAATGAAGAGATAATTGTAATGATTATGAAGGCAGTGCTGGGGTCAGCTGTTTGGTGGGTTGAATCTGGGTGCAACGGTGCTCTCTTTGCCCACCTGAATAACCAGAAAATGGTGCCTGGAATGCAGTAGTGGATTATGCCTTTCTACCTTCCAGCAATCAGTTCTTGCAATTAAGCTATAGTATATTTGAGTAAACTTCAATTTTGGTTACTCTTTTTTGCCTTTCTGCCTATATGCCTTTCTGTTTCTTTATGTTGTGTTTCGAAGGTGAGTGTGTGTGTGTGTATTTGTACTTCTGTGTGTATATGTGTGCATATGTGTATATAAATATATATAACTTGTCTGTCTCTGTCTATAGAAGTAGTTCTAAAGTTTTTTTTTCCTTGCTTGTTTTAAACTCTCTTCTTCTCTCCCACATAATTGGAGCACTGGTCAGTTTCATAAGTACTGTATATCTCCAACTCTGTAAGCTAGAATCAGAGCCATGCAGATAAGGCTGTCATCAGAGATAACAGCAGTCAACAACCCACAGTGTCATTATCTCAGCAAAGGGAGAAAGCAGGCAGCTTCCCTCAATATACAAAGTGCAGCAGTTATATATGTCTCCTTTACAATGATAGATGAGATGGGATAAAGGGGGAATCCAACAGAAAACCTTCAAAGCCTGTTTGATTGCATCCTCCCTGTTCCAAATAGTGAATATTCCCCCCCCTTATGCACAGCAAGCAATGTGTTTCCATGTGTGTTACAAAGAAGAGATCAAAATGATTGCAATGGGAAAAAATTCACTTTATTGAACCTTTATTCAAACAGAATTTCTGCAAAGGAAATAATATGGCGGTTTTTTGTCAAATACACTAAAGTGGAAGACAAACAAATCTGACAGATCAGATCTTTTTAATTTCAAAAAATAAATAGAATAAAAGGGGATTTATTTGCAATAACTTGATCCTGCTCAAAAAAATCTGAAGCTCTTACTTATGCTCTATCTCAGAGGTCCTCAGACTTGGCAGCTTTAAGACTTGTGGACTTCAACTCCTAGAATTCATAGCTGGCTGGAGAATTCTGGGAGTTGAAGTCCACAAGTCTTAAAGCTGCCAAGTTTGAAGACCTCTACTCTATCTTAATCAGCCTTCATCTGTAAAGAGCAACTCT